TGCCTGCTTCATGCCTTCACGGCTTTTGGAACAAAGTATTCTCATTCACCCATTCTGCCAGGGGAAGTCTTTACATACTTAAGGTAAACATCCCCCTAACTCACCAACAGGTGTGAGGCCCCTTGGTTACCCTCAACCTGCCCATCTGCCAAGATGGTTTTACTGGGATGTGGCATCTACACATGCTTCTTAGAACCACAGGTGCTCATTTGCCTTTGGCATCCACCTGTCACTCAACTTTCACTCTCAACCCTCACCATGTATGGGATAACTTGATGTGGAAGGAAGACATGCTAATAACTAAGAGGACAAGGGGAGGGTCCCATAACAGTCAGCACCTGAGTGCCTTCCTTAAAGAAAGTGAGGGATTCTAGGAGGAAGAACATTTCAGGTATATGGGACAAACTATGCCAGGTCACAGAGGCAAGAGATGAAGGACCAAGTTTGGAGAACAGCAAGTAATCCATTTTAGATGCAATATAGGAAGAATACAGGAAAGAAAGTAATATGTGATAAGCCTAGAAAGATAGACTACAGCCATATTGTAAAGGACTTTAAATTTCAAACTGGGGAGTTCATATTTTATCCTTGAAGTAATAGGGGAACCACTAAAGCTTCTTGAGCAGGGGAGTGACATGGTGAGACGAATTTAGGAAGACTATTCTGGCAATCATGAGGAGAGTGATAGGAGAGGGTAAAGACTGGAAGCTGAAAGTCCAATTGCAAGGCATTATTATGGTAGTACATGAGAGAGAGAGTGACGGCCAATTGGTCGTGTGGATGAAAAGGAGCGGACAGATGTGAGAAATGTTGTGGGGATGAAATCAAAATTTTGCAACTGTTTGGATATGGGGATTGAGGAAGAAGGTTGAATCGAGGCTGACAATGCCGGACACATAACAGGCACTAGGGTTCTGAAGTTATGAACCTGGGTGACTAGAAGGATAGTGATGCCCTCAACAGAAATAGGGGTATCTGGAGGAAAAGTGGCTTGAAGAAGGAGAGTGGGATCTCTTTTAGACATGAGGCTAAGAGATACTCACAAAATATCCAGTCAGAGATGGCCAGCAGGTAGACGGTGATGCAAGCTTAGAGTGCATGTGTAAGAGTAGAGTCAAATATGTATATGTGTGTGTGTATATATACATATATACACACACATATATATGTATGTGGAAGATCTGAGCATGTTTCAGCTGTTTCAATTATGCCTGACTCTTTGTGACCCTATTTGGGGTTTTCTTAGCAGAGATACTAGAGTAGCTTTCCATTTCCTTCTCCAGCTCATTTTACAGATGAGGAAACTGAGATAAACAGGATTAAGTGACTTGCTCAGGGTCAAACAAATAGTAAGAGTCTGAGGCCCAATTTGAACTTCAGTGCTCAATCTACTGCATCTCCTAGCTGCCCTTTCTGAACATAGAGGATAACTAAACTCAGGAGAGCTGCTCAGATCACTAAGAAGACAGGGTACAGACAAAGGAAAAAAAAAACCAGGTCAGAGTGCTGGAGGGAATCCACTCTTAGGGGACAGGACACGGATGAAGAACGAGCAAAGTGGACAAGGAGCCATCAGACAGGCAGGAGAAGCAGACAAGAGGAGTGTCACGCAACCCGGGGAGGAAAGAGAATTCAGGAGGAGAAACTGAGCCTGCAGAGATCAAAAGGATGAAGTCTAAAAATAGGCCATTGGATTTAGCAATTAAGAGATCATGGTAATGCTGTAGAAAACAGTTTCATTTGAATGAGGCTTCAAGGGATTGGAGAATGTGGGAGAAGAAAGGGAGACAATCAGTTTCTGGGAGAATGATGTTTTTTAGGAGTTTAGCTGTGTGGTAGGCTGGGCCTGACACATGCTAGTCCCCTAGAGTTCAGGTCCAATATTGGAACAAAATGAGACACTCAAAGGTCATTCAACTGCTATCAAAACTGCTATATCTTAGAAAGGATACTCAAAGATACAGCACTCAGCTCAGGAGGGGCGGGGTGACTCAGAAGGCCTTAAGACTTCTATTAATTCTGAAGGGTGGAGACTCCACATAGGCAGGTCTTTTTTCTGTCCTTAAGTGACCAGAAAGCCATGGCCAGAGGTCACCAGAAGCTATACAAACAGCTAGGCCCAATCAAGACTTGGAAACACCTTCCTTGGCTTTTAGGAAAAGAATGAGCTTAACATATTGGAAAGGAGGGAGGGGAACCACGTAGTGAACCCAGACCTCCTACAGACTACAAAATGGCAAAGAAATTTTCTTTTGAACGAATAGCAAGGTCATGTAAAGGTTTTTCATGATGGGTGAGACCTGGGTACACAAGCAGCCTTCAGAGGGAGGAGTAAATAAGAAGAGTGAAGAATAGAGAACAAGGGCATAATTGATGGGGGCAAAAAACAAAGTAAATGGGACGATACGGAATCAAAGGCCCAAGTAAAGGGGTGAGCTTTAGGAAGATGGGTCCTGTCTCTGTCTTCGTCGGAGACGAGCTAGCAAAAGAGGAAAGAATGACGGTGATGTCAAGGGGTTTTGAGGTATAAGTGAGGACAGAAGAGAGCTCAAAATAGATGGCCTCTCTCTTTTTTTTTTTATTTCTAACACATTTTTAGAAATTTTATTTTTGACTGGACTCAGATTTCAAGGTGGAGGCTCTCAGGGAAGACAGTCGACATCTCTTAGCAATCTGTTCCTGTTGTTTTTCTTTAGCCTCCATTCTCTTAGCCAAAAGCTTAGCATATTCTGCTGCTTCTTCGTTGTTCTTGTGCAATGCGTCTACGTTTGTGCTGCAAAACTCGGGGAGTCACCGGACTTGAATTTTAGGAGCCTTGGTCCTGGGTTTCTTACCTTCCTTGTTGAGGGGCTTTCTCACAACATACGCTGGACATCATCTTCTTCGGACAAGTTGAAAAGTTTGTGGATTCTGCTAGCTCTTTTGGGCCCTAGGCAATGAGGCACAGTGGTATCTGTCAGTCCTGGTATATCTTTCTCATCTTTCTTCACTATAACCAAGTTGAGGACTCTCCGGTTGTCATCCACAATGAAGCCCCTAACAGATTTACATTTTCTTTCTCCAGTTCTTCTAGGGTGATAGCAAGAATGGCCCTTACTGAGCAGCAGGCGGACACGTCTGTGAGCCAAAACGCCCTGCTTCATGGGGAAGCCTTGTTTGTCATTCCCACCACCGATACGGACCACATAACCCTTTCATTCTTTACCCAGAGCATCAGCAGAAACTTCAGTGGCCATTCATTTCTCATAAAAGGTCCATAGCTTTCTCTCATCATCAACTTTGATGAGTTTCTGACAGCCAGTGGCTGGGAAAGAGATGTTGAGCTTCCTCTTTGCACAGCCGCCTGCTTCAGATCTGCCACGAGAAACAGCGGCCTCTGTTCTTAATAAAATAGATAAGTGTCTTTGCATAATAAAGTAGAAGGTGAGTTTCTTTGCTGATAGGAAATATGGACGGGAGGTGGGAAAGGGTATGGGAGAGGAAGGGAAACGGGGATTGTTTAGAGGCTTCAGAAGGAAGTTGCAATTTGTAACAGCCTCATTGGAGAATGCAGGAGAACTCATGGGACCTTTGAGGCAACTGAGTCCAACTCTTTCATCTCTGCAGATAAGGAAACTGAGACAGTTTTGAGAGCAATGTCCCAGACGATGGGACATGGCAAGGTGGGGGTAGAGATTGAGCACATAATCCTAGGATTTTTAGGCAAGAATAACTCCCTTGATCTCAATGTAAACTTTCTAGAACAGTGATGCTCAGTCTCTCACAGCACATGCCACTCCATCATACGTCACCTGCTCCTCTCAAGATCTGCCCAAACACCGATATTTGCCACCTCTGTGACGCTAGGTAAGTCATTTAAACTCTCTGAGCTTCAGTTTCCTCATCTGACCTCCCGGCTTCCCTCAAGGCTCAAATAAACCCCTACCCTCTGGGGAAGGGAAGGGAATAAATAAACATTTATATAGCCCTACTATGTTTTAGGCACTGGGCTAAGCGCTTTACTAATATAACCTCATTTTATCCTCACAACAAACCTTCTGAGGTGGTTGCAATTATTTTCCCCATTATACAGTAACTAAAGACAAGCAGAGGTTAAGTGACTTGCCCAGGGTCACACAGCAAGTAAGTGTCTGAGGCCAAATTTGAACTCAGGTCTTCCTGACTTCAGGCCCAGTGCTCTATCCCCTGCGCCATCGGGTGCCTCCAGTAAGTCTTTCCTGATCCCCCTTAATGTTAGTATCTGCCCTCTGTTGATTATTTCCAATACATCCAGTATATATCTGGGTTTGTAAATAGTTGTTTGCATATTGTCTCCCCAAATAGACTGTGAGTTCCTTGAGGGTAGAGACTGTTGTCACTTACTTTGTTTCCCCAGTGTTTAGCACAGTAACTGGCACATAGGAGGCACTTGATAAGTGATTGTTGACTTGACTATAAAATGGGAGTAATAGTATTTGTACTGCCTACCTCAAAAACATCTTGCCAACTGCAAACATTTTATTTAAGTATGAATAATTATTATTAGAATATTATGCTAGGTTCCACAGGACTTGATCAAATTAGGATAAGAGGATCCTATCTAACATAATCCAACAAAGATGAATCAAGCGCCTACTATGCGCAAGAGCTGGAAAGACAATGAAAAACTGTCCCTGATTTCAAAGACCAGGCATTCCACTAAGGGGAGTGGCAAATAAAAAATGTATCTCCAGACTCAAGTGTTGAAATGCCAGTCCCTGGGCACGAGAATGTGCCGCCTTCAGAATGTTGCTAACTCAGGATGGAATGTGCTGACTCAAATAATTACAATCTTTGTTTTCTGTAGAAGTATCATTTTCCCTTCAAATGAAAGCCATTTCATTAACTTGGAAGTGAGAACACTGATTTCCTCCCATAGGAAAATTAGGAAAAATCTCTCCCACTATTGTCCCGTCCTGACTCCCTACCCACACCATCAATCAACTAATTCCTTTATGTCCTTCTGGTCCAGGGCAACTCACCAGGCCGAAGATTCATGGCAATCTTCTGGGGTGTCATCTGAATGACATCTGCCTGAGAAGGGCTGGAGCCCTTGGTGCTCAGAGGAAGATTCCTCAGGACAATGATGCTGCTATCTGGGCTCTCAATTTCCCCTTCGCAACCATTTTGGAGGAGATTTGCCCTCAGATCACACCGCGAGGTGACTGACCTCAGGTTGCCAAAATCCTAAGAAGGAAGGAGAGATAAGGATAAGAAATCAGACCACTCTTACACATGTCACCTTTTTTCCTAGACCTTGATATTTGCTAGCTCTGTGACCCTGGGTAAGTCATTTAACCACTCCGGGCTTTGGTTTCCTCTTCTGTAAAATACGAATAATGATACTTGCACTCCCTACCTAATGAAGATGTTGGGTTCCAAATAGTGGCAATATTAGTGTTTATGTAGCACTTTGAGGTTTTCAAAGCATGTTTAAAATATCTAATTTGATCTGCACAACAACCCTGCAAGGTAGGTACTATTATTAGCTCCATTTTTACAGATGAGGAAACTGAGGCAGGCAGCAGCTAAGTGACTGGTCCAGGGTCACACAGCTAGTGTCCAAGGTCTGATTTTAACTCAGGTCTTTCTGAATCCAGGGTCAGGGTCCTAGCCATTGCACTACACATATAACACACATACTTACTGGATCATCAGACTGTGTATTCAGGAGAAACAGAACGGATTATCCCTAAGAAGAATTAAACAGGTTTTCCTAGGATGAGCAATTCTGATGTGAGGTCGGCAGAGCCCCTTCGAGCATTTCTGCTAAACTAGCCTTTTCTATAAGGAGGCTTCTGTGATATGTCAAAAGGAGTATTTGATTTTGCGCTCGGAGATACAACCGTGGAATCAGAGATTCTCAGGGACTTCCAAAGTCATCTGGTCCAAACTGAACAGGAATCCTCTACAGCACAGATATTAACTATCCAATCCAATCCAATCCAATAAATATTTATTAAGTGACTATTATATGCAGAATGTTGTGCTAAGTGATGGGGATATAATTAATAAAGAGATAGTCCTTCCCCTCAAGGAACTTACAATACAAGGGAGGGAAATGACACACAAAAGGAAGTAACAAAGTGAGTCGGGGGAGGCCAGGGGATAACCAGAGAGTGGAGGCCTTGTTCCATGAACTTGAAACCAAGAGACTTGGCCCACAAAATTCAGCACAGCAGAATCAGATTAAAAATCAGATTAAATGTTTTACAAAACAAATAAAAATACAATACGACAATACGACAAAGATAATATTATGTGTGGTTTTCTAAGTCAATATGCAGCCAGCAGGGATCCATTTCTATTTGAGTTTGCTACCAATCATTCTACAGCAGTCCATCTTCAACTTGGAAACCACTGGTCATGGAGAGCCCACCCCTCCTGAAGCAGTTGATTCTACTTCTCAGAGAGTTCCAGTGGTTACATGGCCTTGAGGCCACAGGTTCCCAACCCCTGGTCAGACATTTTTCCTTATAACAAGCTTAAATCTGCCTCGCTGAAACTTCTCTCCTTTGCTCCTAATTCTTTCTCCAGGGGCACCAGGCAGACCAAACCTCTTTCAGAGTAGGGCCCTTCAAATACTTGAAGGCAACTATCATGATCCACCTCCCTCTGCCCAAAGTGAGATAATGATAACTAGCATTTATATGGCACTTTAAAGTTTGTAAAACACTTTACAAATATTCTCTCTTTTCTTCTTACAACAAGCCTGGGTTGTTGTTTGGTCATTTTTTAGTCATGTCCAATTCTCTGCGACCCCATTTGAGGTTTTCTTGGCAAAGATACTATAGTGGGTTGCCATTTCCTTCTCCAGTTCATTTTACAAATGAGGAAACTGAGGCAAATAGAGTTAAGTGACTTGCCCAGGGTCACACAGCTAGGAAGTATCTGAGGCCAGATTTGAACTCAAGCAGATGAGTCTTCCTGACTCCAGGCCCTGGCACTCTATCTACTTCACCACCTAGCTGCCCCAACAACCTGGGAGGTAGGTGCTATTAGTATTCCCATTTTTACAAATGAAGAAAATGAGACTGACAAAAGTTAAGTGACTTGCCCAGGGTCACACAGTTAATAAGTATCTGAGGCCAAATTTGAATGAGCCTTCCTGACCCCAGACCCAGAACTCTAACCAGAGTTCTACCTAACTGCCTCTAAATTAAGCATCCCCATTTCCTACAAGTAATCCTTGGTATTTAATCTCCTTGTCATTCTGGTGATACTATTCTGGACATATTCCAATATCCTTCCTAAACTCAGGTGCTCAGAATTGAACATAATACAATAGACCAGATGTGGCCTGATCAGGATAGAGTCCAGAGGAACTCTACAGGGGTGTGCTGGGGCCAGCTGGCTCCTAAGCTGGTTATTAAATTTTCATTTACATTGCATTGACACCTTGAAAACTGACAAATGCTGCAAATAACAGCTTGACTTATTGTTTTTGCTGATTGTCTAGACTTAAGAAGGTGTTGGAGAAAACGTTACTATAAACTTAAGTGTGTCATGCTTCAGAGAGACGTTTGTTAAACATTTACCATCCTACCACTGTTATTTTGGCCTCTTACATTCTAGACATTGACCTTCTCTTAATCCAGTCTAAAATTACATTGTGCTTATTGTCATTCTGTCAACTTATATGGAAGTTGTAGTGTACTGAATGCTCTGTATCTTTTTTTCACAAGAATAGTTATCCAGCCATACCTACCCTCTCCTGCACTTGGTGAAGTAGGTTTTTTGAACCCAAGTGAAGCACTTTACATTCATCCCTATCAAGCTTCATCTTATTAGATTTAATCTAAAATCCTTTGGGGTACTGATCCTATTACCTCCCATGTTAACTATTCTTTTTAGCTGTGCGTCATCTACAAAGGAAATAGGCATGTCGCATTTGCCTTCCTCTATGTCAGTGATAAGAATGTTGGGCCAAGGATGAATCCCTGGAACATTTCACTAAAGAAAGACTTCTATATCATGCCCCTAGGAAACTCATAAAAAATCTCATCATCCTGCAAGATCTCATCAGCAGTCACACACACACACACACACACACACACACACACACACACACACCAGTTTTCTACTGTTTAGATTGCAAGCAGCCATAAAAGACTGTCTTTCTTTATTTGTATTCCCAACACTTAGCATAGTGCTTAGCACATAGTAGACATTCAATAAACATTTGTTGACTGACTGACCTTTCACCAAGTTGACAAGGCGCTATTATAAATTACTATTTGAGAATGGCTGAACAAGTTGTGGTATATGAATATAATGGAATACTACTGTGCTGTAAGAAATAACGAAGAGGTGGACTTCAGAAAAATCTGGAAAGACCAACATGCACTGATGCAAAGTGAAGTGAACAGAGCCAGGAGAACATTGCATACAATCACTGTAACATTGTACGATGATCAACTATGATTGACTTAGCTCTTCTCAGCAATATAATGATCCAAGACAACTCCAAAAGACTCATGATGGAAAATGCTATACACATCCAGAAAAAGAAATAAGGGGGTCTGAATTCAGATTGAAGCTTACTATTTTCATTTTATTTGGTTTGTGTGTGTGTGTGTGTGTGTGTGTGTGTGTGTGTGTTTCCTTTTGTTCTATTTCTTCTTTCACAACAGGACTAATGTGGAAATGTTTTACATGATGGCATCTGTATAACCTGTATCAGATTGTTTGCTGTCTTGGGGAGGAGCGAGGAAAGGGAAGGAGGGAGAAAGATTTGGAACTCAAAATCTTTCAAAAAATGAATGTTGAAAATTGTCTTTACATGTAATTGGAAAAAAATAAAATGCTATTAAATATTTTTAAAAAACAAATTACTCTTTGAGATAAGTAAACCAGCTATTAATATAGTAATCCTATGCTGTTCTTTAGCCCAAATGTCTCCATCTTTTCTACACTGATAGTATGAATGACTGTGAAATGCTTTGCTGAAATATAGGATCCTACATTTACAGCATTCCCCTAATCTTGTAACCCTGTGAAAAATGAAAAAGATTAGTCCCTCCTCATGGCCTGACACTCCCATTCTGGACTCTGACCTTCTTTGCCAATCACTTTTCCTCCTGAATAAACTTCTACCCTGGTCTCTTCCCTGCTCCCCCCAAACTGGTGACTGCCTCTCCTAGACTAATATTTCAAAAAGAGCCCCAGCCAAGCCTCACTTCATTCCAGACACTCAGGCCTTCTCCTCATAGCCATGTTACCCCTTCTACCCTGCTCCCACTAGTTCAGAACCACAATCATGATCAAATCAACTCTAATGTAGTTCCTGGATAGGAAAGTCAACTTTTAGGACCAACTTGCCCCTCCCTGACCATCACTGGGGCATCTGGGTGGCAAAGTGGATAGGGTGCCTGGCCTGGAGTCGGGAAGATGAGTCTTCCTGAGTTCAAATCTGGACTCAGACACTTACTAGCTGTATGACTCTGAGCAAGTCATTTCACCCTGTTTGCTCAGTTTCTCATCTGTAAAATGAGCTGGAGAAGGAAATGGCAAACCACTCCAATATCTTTTCCAAGAAAACTCCAAATGGTGTCACAAAGAGCATGACTGAAAATGAACAACAAAATTTATCTCCTCATTAAGAATGTGAGTTGCTTGAGGGCAAGGGACTGTCTTGGTTTTTTTGTTTTGTATTGCTATCCCTAGCACTTAGCACAATGTTTGGCACACAGTAAACACTGAATAAAAACCCACCTAATAAATGAATAAACTTAATAAATTACTTAATAAATTCATTCGTTATACCATACTAGCTCTTAGTAATCATTGTGCCTTCCTTTCTAAATGCACACAAGCCATCCGCTTAACAATAACGTCTATTATTTTGTCTGAAATCAGAGCTCACTAGCTTATAAATTGCAGATTTCATTATCTTCCTGGGAGGGGGGAGCAGAGGGAGGAGAAAATTTGTCAGTCAAGATGAGCTGAGTTCCTTTTCAGCTCTAAATATATCAGTCATTCAGCAAGCATTTATTATACTCCTACTATATGCTGGGCACTGTGCTAATTACTGGGGGTACAGAGATAAAAATTAAATAATCTTGTCCTTAAGGAGCTCCCATTCTAATAGGGGAAATGATATGCACATGTGTAATAGGGGATAAGTATATACAGAATATCTTCAAAATGAAACAAGGTAGTTTTGGAAGGAAGGGCACAGCACCTGG